ATTTAACAATGGTGGCTTTCTTTTTGCCTTGGGGTCAGCCAAGTTCAGCAAAAAACATCTTTTTGTTAAAAGATAGTGCTGATGGCTATCTGGGTTGCCAACACTAGCAACCAAAGTTGAGACTCAGGATGTCTTGGAAAGGAAACTTTTAGCTTACAAATGGAAGCAGGAAGAAAAGGGAGCTGGTGTTAAGCAAGGAGCCAGAGACCGAACATGTATTCTCTTACTCACTAATGAGAAATTCTTTTGGAAAAGCTCATGGAGGGAAAGTTGTCTTTCCTTAGTGTCCTAAAATTCAGGTTATTACTCTGTGTGGATCTGGAGATGTGGAATGTGGACAACTATAAAGTAATGAGACTGGTTATCTGGGATCACTTATAAGATCTAATTTTAGTATAATTATAATTATAATTAGTAATAAGTGGCAGGAACTGCAGAGGATTCCCCTTTCTGCCCACTGTCTTTAGGATCTTGGTCTGGGTCCACTAATACAAGTCCTTATTTATTTAGAGTTTACTCTGACTCTAAGCCAGACCCTGTTCTATTTACTTTTTTGTATATTTACTTCATTATGTTAGGTAGATAGTGAGGGATTCTGGGTTTCCTAGGGACGAAAGTGGGTGCTGTTGCCCCCATCTTGGTCCTGCCCAACCCTAATTCTCCATACCTGGGGGAGGAGGGAATACCCTATGAATATGCCAATCAGAACTTGGTGCACTAGCTGCAAAAGAATGCAGAGAACTCTCGAGCCCATGGGGCCAAGCTGCATGGGTACCATAAAGTCCAGAAAGGGACCTAGAACCCACATGCACAGTAAGACTCGGATCATGCAGCTCCCCAACTGTCCAATCAAAATGGTTCTATGGTGACATTTGAACCATGGAGAGGTTCCTATCAGGACACCATAAAACAAGACCCAGACCATAACCAAACTCTCTCTTTCCCTGCTACGACAAGGGGTTCACTCGTCATCTGTGGTGTATATATCATGCTTTGCAAACCTATGTCTCACTCTTGCTCTATAATCCTATCTTGTTCCCCCTCAATAAACTTCACCTTATGCTTGTCTAACTTTGGTGCGTCTGGTCATTCTTTGGCCATGAGTGCACTAAGAACCGACATTACAGACTAAAACCTGACAATTATAATAGCCACATGAGCAGATGCTCCCTGACTCTATTTCATAGTTGAGGAAACTGAGGCATACTAAGGTAAAGTAACTTCCCAGAAGTAACCCTAATGGTTTATGGCAGAGCTAGAATTTCAGGCTTGGCAGGCTGGCTCCAGGCTTCATACTTTTGATTGTCATTCTTCATTGCCTTTTAGTGCCTATTGATGTAGTTCATATTGATAAATGTTGATTAGATTGATACTTAGAGAGCTGCAAACTTTAGAGCAGTTCTTTAATACTATTTACTTGGCTCATATATTGATTTAAGATTATTTTCTTTTTATATTGCATACCAATTTTCTTTTTGGTAATTTTCTGGTAAAATTTTTAAAAACCAAATGCTAAGAAATAGATTCATTAAAAGACTCAAGAGTGCAAATAGTATTATTTATTTTTTTAAACTATGGTGACAGTATTAAGGCAAAATCCATGGAAGCTATGAACAGTTTGGTGCTGCAAATTAATGTGGGAGTATAGACTACATTTCCAGAAGAATGAAGAGGCTCAACTTTTCTTTCTCATAGGTTAACAGTTCCTAACAAAATACTTGATTATTTATTTTGACTCTCCTTTTCTTCATCTCTGAAGTAGTAAAATGATAATTTCTACTTCATAGGTGATTGTGAGAATTTAGTGAGATTATTGTACATGTAAATTATCTTGTGTAGTGCCTGGCTACATAGGTACTACATAAGAGGTAGTTTGTTATTGTGATTATGGATTGTATTATAAAAGAAGATTGTGGTTGAATTTCACTACCTGAACCATAATCATAAATTAATCATCAACTTTTGGATATGCATCAACCTTTGGATAAAACCCAATACACATTTGCATTTGCTATAAAATTTATTAAGACCTTGTACATTGTGCTACATACTGGTTGAAGGTCCCCGGTGATAAAAATCTATTTTAGAAATTTATCCTGGAAAAACTTAAACCCATCCTGCTTCCTTCTTCATCTTGTCAACCAGGTTGTTCTGAGTTTAAAGAGTCATCACAATAAGCATGTGTCCTTGAGCTGGGCATGCTAATTCCCTCATTTTACGGCTTTGTATTTTTATTTCTATTTAAAGAGTGTTATTATATACAGGAGTTTTTAATGTAATCCAACTTAAGTATTTGGGACAAGAGGTATATTATAAATAAGACACAAGAAGTAATTGAATGTTTCTGATTTTCCGATGGGTCTAATAGGGCAGTAAGCCTTGGGCTCCAACAGAGTAGCTGTCAAACTTTAATGATCATCAGAATCCTTTGGAGGGTTTGTTAAAACACAAGCTCCTAGTCTCCCAATCCTGGAGCTTTCAGATTCAGTAGGTCTGGGGTGGGGCTGAGTATCTGTATTTCTAACAAGTTCCCAGGTGTTACAGATGCTGCTGGTCCAGAGACCACAGTTTAAAAGCCATTGCTCTCATAGATGCATCCAGTTATGTCAATTTCATTTCACATTGTCTTTTTTCTCTGTTCTTCCACATCCATCGAATTAAATGTCATTAATGTTTATAACACTGACAGTACATTTTATTTAAGCTAAGTGGCCTACTAGCATCTATAATAATTGAAACTATAGGTCAAGCCAGAAATAAAGCATTGGAACAATACTAATACTAATACATGGAGTAGGACATTGGAACCAAAGATGACATTATTTCCAAGTGTTTTTTACACAGAACTCTGGTCCCAACAGCTAATTCTCCAAGGAAGAAGAATTCTAAAGCCAAAATATCCTGGGATCTTACATACTACATCTCCCATTATCTTAGAGATGCACATTAACATAGAAAAAAATGCTGTAATCGAAAACATTTTAACGCGATGTAATGGCATTTTCTGAACATGGAACAAAGTTGATTATGGAAAACTTTCTTCATTTAGCTTCTAATTAACTTCTCCTTGGTAAGGCTATATGTTTGAAAAGCCATTGTTTATTAAGAAATATAATGGAACAGTGGCAAATGGGTTGAAGAGGATAAGAAACATTTTAGAACAACAGAAGTACAATTGTGAATGGCATCTCAGTGTCGAGATTTTGGAGGGAGAAGGACAGACATTGATCTAATATGCAGAGAAGAATATGAATAAGTCAAAGATGACAATGGCAGGAAATAAGAAGTTTGAAAAAAGGAGAAAAGAGATGGTCCCTCAACTCATAAGAGATGCTCTAAATATAATTGGTATCAAATGGCCTGTGAGATAAACATATAATTAATAGTGTTCACCCTTGATGGTATTAATTTCAAATATTAAGAAATACAATCATGTAACTTCTTCCCCATAAAGGAAATCTGGTTATAAATGCCAAAACAACACCATTTCTATATAACGGGAAGACTACTAAATCTTGATTGAGAGTTCACCTATTTCAAATATTATTTAAAACAACAGGATAGCAAAATAAAAGCCAAAACCACTTGGAAGTCTTCTGAATTAGTTAATTTAAGCTAACTACAAGGCTTCTATCTATATCTATACCTACACTCATCACTACATATATACCTTTTACTGTTGAACTTGCGTGTTTGCTTATGGTTTGTTTGGAGTCTGTATGCTTTTAATTAAGGATGAGGTTAGAGCATGTGCTTTATTATGCCTGCTTTGATGATTTGACATCTAACATGCATTGGTACATTTAATATCTATTTTTGATGATACTGTGATGATCCTGCAATTTGCTCTTTTTGATAATGATGAGAAAGCAACGGATGAGCAATGTAATGTGTGAAAATTATTCCATTAATAAACAAGTGAGAGCTGAGCATAAATTGTAGCTCTTAAAATTTTAGCTAAATTTTTATCTCAGTGTTAACAACTAGCTCTAGTTATATAAACCCATTATGTCATATAATCGGAGAATGGTGAGATTCTCTTTGAGAATCATAGTTATATGTATTTAAATGCCAAAATAAACATCTTTTAACACATGATTTTGTGAACGTTGCACACTCTTGGACTACAACTGCATTGGTGCTTTGTGATGAATAGTTAAATAAAGGCACACACTTCATGACAATGTCATTTGAATTACCTTGGAAGATGTCAACTGTATTTACTCATAACTATATTTTCATCTTTATTTAGTTAATTGGTTGCTATGGCAACTTCAACATAAATCTAACTAATATGACTTTTAGAGCCTGGAATTTTCTTTTACCAACTTAGAAAAATAACTTTAAAAAACGTGTCCCCCTTATTTCAAGGAAATAGTTAAAGTAAAATAGAAAAAAAGAACATAAATAAAACTAGGGTCAGGAAAAATACAAGTTAAAATAGAAGGTCAAAACCAAGAGGAATTGGAAGGAAGAATTGAGATCTAGGTCCTTCATAGATACTAAGCCTGAGCCTAGTTTGGTTTTGAAATTCCAGATAGCCAAAACAAAAAGGGAAATGCTGTCATTTAGAGGTATACATTATCTAATCACTAAGAGGAAAAAATGTTTCCCTGTCCCTCTATTCTGAATAAAATTTCTCACCTAGGATTTCATTTAAGGACCATTAAATCATATAGTGGGCATAATACAGTATTTTACTTCAGAAAATATAATACCAGGTTATTATGTATATCATGAAAATTTCACCTCCATTGCCATGTTATGTTGTGGAGGACTTTTTACCAAAAAGTTGAGGACTTTTTCCGAAAGTGCTTATCAGTAAAAGAAATTCAATACAGGATCCAAGAAAGTATAGTTCAGTGTGTAGTACGTACTTTCTGATGGCATAGTTTAGCCATATAGAATAATACCTATAATATCTATGATGAATGGACATTCTGCATATTAGATACTCTCTAAATTATCCCTACAAACATCACTTTTCTCAATAGGGCCTTTGCTAAGAGCAGGATGCAGAAAGTTTGAGGTTGTACTCTTTGGCAAGGGCTTATGATTTACAAATGCCTAAGAGAAGTAGTCAATGTGTACTACTATATAAATCTAGTTATTTTCACTGAGACAGTTATAAAATGCAGAATTACATGTAATCATATCTATCTTTATCTGTTGTACCTTTTCTTTTCAGTGAAGTTTCACCTTTCTTCCCTTTTCCTTCCTGAAGAGATTCTTGCTTACCATGTGGGGTTTCTAAACAAAATTCAACACACAAATATCATCGATTATTTACTTCAATAGACTTGGCCATATGATTTTTAAGCAATCAAATGTTATTTCTCAAGGATAAAACATTACATTTGTGAGCCACATAAAATGGCTCAGGTCTTTACTGTGAGTTAAAATTAATCTGAAGACAGACTATGGATTAAAACTTCTTGAATGATAGCACTATTCTGTCACACTGAGATACTTAGTTCTAACTTTAATATAAATATTTGGTAATGGCTTTCATCATAAACTCTTTAATGGGACTAGTTGTGGAGTTTTAAAAGTTAATCACAAGTCCATTGAAGCACATAGCTCTATTTGAATTTATTTCAACTGAATGGTGCTTATACAATAAGACAACTAGATCTGAAATAAAAATGATACCAAAACAGTTTGAAGAAGAGTTAAATGATGATATTGTTTTGATATGGTGCATCCTTGAACTTCTCTTGACTATACACTTGGTTGCCTTCTACATTTGCATTTTGCACTGACTGTAACTGGTAATGCAAAGGATGGTTCAAGTATATTTATCCTGGACTCCCTGGAATCTAGCTCAAAAATATACAGGAACCTGATGATGTTGTGGTCAATAGATGACTTAAATAATAAATTTGTTCCTTGGAAAAATTCTCTACATCCTGCACTATTCACCAAATTCAGTCATTTCCTCCCTTGGTTTTGGGCTATAGTTTTTTTTTTTTTCTTTTCCTCCATTGGAAGGATGGACAAGTATGGCAATTTAAATGTCTGTGATGGAGAGAGACTCCATCTGACCTATTTTTTTTTTTTT